AAGCTAATGGGCTGAGGGAAGTGCAGCAAGAACAAAAACAAGTGAAACTCACAAGAACAGTGTAAACAAGTGAAACTCACAAGAACAGTGTAAACAAGTGAAACTCACAAGAACAGTGTAAACAAGTGAAACTCACAAGAACAGTGTAAACAAGTGAAACTCACAAGAACAGTGTAAACAAGTGAAACTCACAAGAACAGTGTAAACAAGTGAAACTCACAAGAACAGTGTAAACAAGTGAAACTCACAAGAACAGTGTAACTATGGTAACCACTACCTTGTTTACCTCTGACTATAAAATAAAGGCTCAGCTTGCCTCTGGATCTTTCTCTGTGGCCTCAGCCAGGCACAGGAAGATCCACGGAGACTAAAGAGAGCTATGCTGATCATCTGAACTCTGTCTCCGTGTAAATCATTCTTCGCCGACTCCATCCACACCTTTGGGAACCCCTGGCCCGCTGGGGCTGGACCCTGGCACATTTAGCCTCCAACAATATGCCTGTACCCTCTGAATGTTCTTTAACCTAAAGTGGACGTTTCTCCAACTCAGTTCAGTAAGCTGAACTGAAGCCCATTATGGTTTCTCTGCCCTTCATGTCCTTCATCATCTGCTCTCACCTCTGAGTCAAAATGGCACATCCTGTAATGACAGAAAAGGGAATCATTGATCGGCTGCCTCCTGCATGCCCCACACTGGAGATCTTTCCACTTCTGATTTTCATATTTTATTAACGGCATTATTCTAGTGCTGCTCAGTTCAAACACTTGAAGTTATAGGGGATTTATTCCTCACCCTTCACATCCAGCAGGGCACAAGTGTCTGCTAGTTTTTTGGTGACTTCTCTCATGGCTGTCTGTCTGTCTGTCCCTTTTTTTTTGTTTTGTTTTTTTGTGTTTTTTTTTGGTTTTCACATGAGCTTAAAGCCTTGTTACTTTTGCTTGGACCAGCCCTATAGCCATCTAACAATCTTGAGTCTCTGTCGATGGTTTCTTTTATCCTCTAAATATTCCTAAAGTTGTTGCAATCCGGCAAGTTCCTGCCAGTGGAACCTTTCTAAAATATCCCCAGTTGCCCCAGAAACCCTCAATGGCTCCTGATTACTCTTAGAATAAAGTCCAAGCTGAACCCAACTCACTCCGTTTTCACCATCCCAATACGGTTACCTGTTACTGTTTGTTCACATGAATTCAGCCAACAAGCATCCTCCCTGATCTATGCTCACAGCCTTGTGGATTCTGCCTCCACATGCTTTACA